GGAACGTGCGAGCGAACCAGTCGCATTGGGAATAGGAGGGCGGTGTTGACGAGCTTGACTACGAGGAAGGGCGCAGTTTTTTGCCGACCCGACAAATTTTTGGACCAGCTCTCGTCCCTTACGGACTGTAACTGTATCAGTTTTTCTGTATACCACTGCTACATGATGTGGCCTAGAACAATTTCCAATCAAGCTGACTGTTTCGGTACTGTGTACCATTGTGTACGACATGGTATGGTTCAGTGTGAAACAAAGGATGAAAGATGTAGAGTGCATGGATACGACGGACTGGATCACCGATAAGAACTGGGTCAAAGTTTGTTGTGGAGCCAGATAATCAGATAAAGTGGGTTCTCTGGCTGGCGGACCATGATGACGTGGTTGACGCTGCTCACAATGCTTGGCGGTGGCGGGCGCCGAGAGCACGGGTTTCACAGTGATTATGTTTATGCCACCGTCTTTCGTCTCAAAATCTGACCAATGTACTGAGGAGAGTCTCTGTAAATAGGGCTGACAAGTCCTGTCTCCTTCAACGGCGGTGGACGTACACGCTAGAGTTCTGACAGCTAAGATTTGCTGCATTCCCGTCAAAGTTGGATGCTGACTCACTGATGCTGGGTACTGAGTGTGAAATTTGACATTGGTCCTATTCTACAATGGTCACAATAAGAATAAGCCCCGCTGGTTACTTGTAGGGCAGTTAGTGGTAGCTCAAGGAACATGCCGGTGTAGTACCGCCAGTCGAGTATGATGGTCTTAAAGACGGCTTCACTACTACAGATTACTGTAGTATCACGGCCGGTTGCTCGCCGGTTTTGAGCGTTATGCAGTTCACATTAGTGTTTTTTTTTTTCCTTTGCGTTGCATTTCGCTAGGTCGTTTTAAGGGTTTTGGCGGCATGCCAACGGGCACCAACCGTGTTGTTCGAGTCCATATCCGAACCCAGCGCGCACTTTGCCCAAGTGCCGTCGTGCTCCCAGTTCACCAATTTTCCGTGACGAGCAACGAGCAGACGATTGTAAAACACAGTATCCTCCTAAGTGAAGAGAACGTCCAAGATGTGATCTCCGCTATCTCTGAGGCAAGGCAAGAGTTCACGGCTCACCCAAAGAGCTAAGTTGCCTAACTGAATTCTTCACGCCGCGGCAAGTTCCAAAGTCAAAATGGCGTGGAACGAACACTATCCGGAGTCATCAGGGAAGTTTGCGAGAGAGACCCACTTTCTTGCCACCTCTCTGTGCCATAAGTTGAAAGAATGGTTAAGCTTTCACGGAAGAATCGGCCGACGCAGCCCAAGAATAGATCTGAGTAATGAAAACCCTCTTTGCTGTGGTCCATCTGTGGTGCAGAGCCGGCTTCAACACCCAATTTGCCTTACTTGGTAAGCAGTGCACAGCTTCAAGATCACGCTATGACAGTGCAAGGATGACAGTGGTGTCACAGGAATACCATGAGCTGGTATATACCACACAAAACGTTCCCAGGTACTCACAACGACCGACCGAGTCCTAGCCAGCCTGCATAGCACGTCTGAGAGTTCGCTTTCCCTTTTGGACATGTGAACTCGCGCATCCGAATCTGTCATTCAACATTGCACACTCGTTCATGAATTCTTCCTCGTCCCTCTCTCATTCTTTCGAGTACCTCTCCTCTTTCTTTGACCGAACAGCCAAACAAAACAAGACACGTACATCATCTTCCACTCATCTAATGTGGTCTGCTTCACCGTGTGCCATTCACCATGCGTGGCTGCCCCCCGTCTCTGAGGTGAGACATGACCTGTACGCAGGGCCTATCGTATCTCGTGTCCAGCTGCTAACCAGTCCGCACTCGGGCGAGCGGCTCGTTTAAACATACGAGCTTACGTACTCCTTCAATTATTTATCCTTGGCTGAATCTCACGTATCCGACCTTGCGCTCATATTCAAGAAGCAGAGGATGAACGACCGCAAGCGTAAACGGCTAATTTATGTTTGTCATCGCCGGTATCAGGAAGGGTGCAAAAATTGCTCGATCGGTCGTTGAATCTGTCTGATCAGCTCACGGGCTTACAAAGTCCAACTGGCGTCGCTGTTTATCACCTTGATGTCTGATGAAGTCGAGGGGTCGAGCGCCATCCATGTTTTGTGTTATATCACAGACGCTTGAAAGCCGACCTGGCCACAATGTTCATTCTGCTCATAGGTGAGTATATCTGTGAAAATACAGTTGCATGCTCCACCACAAGCCTATACTTCCCGCCTTTTGTTTGAAACATACAAGACGCTCGTATTGCCCGATCGCCGGAGCGCCCACATAATGAAGGAGCCAAGAGTCACGGAGCATCACAGAGTCATCTACTTCATGTCATTCTAACCCTTGCCGTCTCTCAATATCAAACCCGTTTCTGACGAATGTTCTGTAGTTTATCACAGCTAAAAACTGAGAAAAGTCTTCCAGCGGGGCATTTCCAGGTTGCGATAGCGCACTAATTTTTCTTTGCAATGTCGAGCGCGCCCCTCACAATGAGTGTCCCAGGCTCTTGACGTCCTTTTCGGTTTCACAAACAGCGCCATACGCCCGATGATTCTTGGTTGCAATTTTCAAATAGCAAGTCTGAATCAATCGTTGGGATCTGAGCCCCATTTGAAACGCGTTCAAATGGCTCGCGATGGTGGCGAATGGTGAGGAGGTGGGCGAGAGAATTGCAAGAGATCTGCAGGCATTGGCGTGAGCCGGAATTCGTTCAATCCCGCAATGTCATGCAATCATGCACTTCCGCGATGTAGCGGATACTAGATACCATTCAGGATAGAGTGCTCTGTCATCTAATCCCCTATGATAACAACCTGTTAGCTGCAAGAATCTCTCGAGACGCTACCCAATAACACCCTGCATCCTCGAAGTATGGCATCTTATACCACGGAATGCCCCGTCGCATCCTGGATTCTCATCACGTCGAATGATGGGGAGAGATACGATGACAGGTGCATGCGATTCGAAGGGGACTTGTAAGGAGATTATTCACAAATATAATATACAATCTATACAGGATTCTCTACCGCGCCTCCGTACGTCGTTTCAACCTCGTACATGCCGTGTGCTTCCCCGACGAAGCTGGCGCTATCACCCGAGCCGATACTTTCACGAGGTATGCTACCAATGGGTCAGATATGCCCTTGCCGTGAACAGACAAAGAGGACTTACCAATGGTGTTCCAGCCACCTACTGCTGTGCAGACTTCTGCTGCTTCGCAAGGTCCTTATAGCACTGGCAGAATTCATTAGTGGCGAGCAAGTTCAATGGAGCGAAGATCGTATCCGCAGACGGTCACCCTTCTCCTTGTCAATCTCGCTCTTTAACTTGGATGAGGACAGTGTCCAGGAACTGGTCGAATGAATTAGAGGTGTAAGGCGGAGTTGAGCGCGATCCATAGGTATTGTGAGCTTGATCTGCCACACATGGCAGGATCGAAGCTGCCATGAGAGTATCGGCACGATCCTGGATACGATGGGGAGTGTTTAGCGCGATAGATGCTGGGCATACTACCAACGGGTCAGTGCTGCACCCCACTTCGGGAGAAATCATTACTCGCATTGAATACCTGGATGACTAGCAGCAGTAAAGCAGTATTACTGCAGTACAGATCCTGAGACTAGACGACGAGACATCGAGATTGAAAGGGGGAGGATGACCGGGCGAGGTGATGGACGGGAGCAAGCCGCGCGCGACCAACGCGCGACACGCTCAAACGCCGCGTCCTCGACAATAACACGGAATGTAAACGGCGTGCACGCACGGATGGACGTCGAGCTCGCACCTCCACGTCAAAACTCGGGTTTGAACATTTATCGTTTGTACTCAAAAGGTATCATGCTCGCATTTGTATCTAGCCAAGTATATCCATCCAACTACTCAATCATCTTCATTTTTGTCAGGCCCGAGCTCGTCATCGTCGCTATCGTCCAAATTATCGTCCAAATCCCCTACCCAGTCCCACTCTGCCCCAAGCTTTTCCAATACGAACCAGAGGTTCTGTATACCATCTGTCGTTGGTGTATCGTACGATGGACACCCACTTGCGAGAGTTCGACACGAAGGGTATGAACAACGCGATATCATCCATCCAGCCGAAATGGCTGCATTCGCCGAGCATGTTACATTTATTCTGAGGCATTGGATTCGGAAGCCGCGCCGACATGCTGGTCTGAAGGCAAGTCACGGATTCGCGCACGCGACGCGTTCGCGCCGACGCCCTTCGCGCGCACTAACTCATATTCGTGTTTTCTATTAATCTCATGGTAGTGATATATTCAGTCTGAATGTACATTCCAGACCATGGGGTGTAGATACAGACTAGTCTACATTAAACACAAGCTCGCCGTGTTTAATTCCCGACGACGTGCTACATGCGAGCTTGTCTGTCCTTTTGATATTGCTGTTTCGAGCAGGCTGTTTTGGTGACTTGTTACCGCAGTTGGTGACTTGGAAGGGGGCGTTGTTGATAGCAGATTGAATTGACCAGTGGGTAGGTGACTATTCGGGCAGACAAAATCAGCTTTGCCGAGAGGAAATGCAGCAAGACACACCGTACAGCGGCCGAGGAGGGCTGCAGAGCTCTTGAAGCCGTCGTAGTTGGAATGCAAGTTGAAGCCATGGGACGTGCTCGCTCTGCGGTGTACGGGACCGCGCTCGCGCGGATTCCCCAGCATTCGAATCAAGAACTTGAAAAGCCCGTGTCCTGATCTGGCTCTCATAGCCAATATTGAATCGACGGCAAGCATGCTATGCAAGAGCGACCGGATAGAGTCATCGTCTACGAACAGCGCGTGAAATTGCAGGCGACGATGAAAGCGAGAGTCAAGTTCGTTCGGCACAGAGCACGGGCGCGGCGATCTGCCGCGCGTATGGGCCCGTACGGCCTCGCGGAATCAATTATCAGTCAAACATTCTTTGGCGTAGTCGCAGCTACTTGAACATCTTGATTGCTCGTGTGCTAAGATACGATACTGTAAGCTACTCTACCCGGTCACCAATGCGACCTTCTCCGGCTTGCAGCGAATAGTTGCACGCGCTACCTCGAACGGAACCGGGTACTGCCTCGCCGCACAGAACTCGCTAATGTGAGCATATAGCCCAGCCTTGAATTCTATCTCGGCATGGCTGCCGAGGGTGCAACCCTCTCGCACGTCGCGTAGTCCAGCAGGTGACGTAGACCTGTGTACTGGGGGCGCCGCAGCTGATTCGAGGGTCGGCGGCAATGTCGAGGGGTAGCGATTGTAGTTCGAAGTGTAGCTCTCTTCATACAAGCGAGGACTGAAGTAATCGAGCTGAGAGAAAGGGTCAGTAAACCAAGACATCTTGTTTCATTTAACGAGTACACACCGGGAGAGATGGCGGCGGCGAATCGAAGAAGGAGGGTTGAATCACCTTCACGCCGCTCTGCGTGAGTTGCGTCCGCAGCTCGTCGTCCATATCCACGACTTGGGCTTTCTGGGGGTAGATTTTAGTACTATGCGACGTGCAAGCTCAGCTGAAGCACGGGAATATACCAAGTCTGTGACAGATCGACCTGATCGTCCCGGGATAACGTCGACTTGGTCGATAGCTGGGCTGTCAATGGAGATGACAAGCCGATGGTTTTTGACCAAGCGAAGTCGCACAGGATGCGACGGAGGCGGGCTCGAAGGCGGATTCATGGTCGCGGGTGGTTTCAAGTGGGTGGCGCAAGAAGGCACGCAGTGCGTATCTTTAATACTAAGAGCATGGGAGAAGAGATATTATGCTATGGTAGGTGTTCTGAGGCGTTGGAAAGTGATAGATGGTCGCCGGGCGAAAGGACGCGCTGATGAAAAGGCGCGGGATGTAATGATGCCATACGAACACGTCGGAATTCCGCACGATGCTCCCCGCCCCTTGCTGACGGTTTTGAGTGAGATTGCGGCCCGTTCGTCTTACAACTCTGGCATTCGTTCTCGGTGGACGCGTTTCAACTGGGTCTGAGCGTCGGGAGGAAAATGATTGAGGAGGTGAATGTGCCGTCATACTTTTGGGCCAAATTGTCTGCCCGCAATCCAGGCTTTAAACAAAATACAGGCAGGGAATAAGGTGATAAATGTGGTACGCGCTGCCTAACAAGGTGCTTAGTGGGTCTCTAAATGAAGAGACATGGCATAGAAATTATCAATGATCTGCTCAACATAGTCTCCACACGCCTCGCTTGCTCCAGAGAAAATCAGCATCACGATCAAGCACATTGCCAATCCACCATACGTGCAACGAGCAGAACGAGCTGCTCTCACAATCTGAGACCAATCGTGCTCAAAGGCGATAGATATGCACAAGACTGCCCACGATTTCCGTCAGAATCTCGGAGCCAAGCCCAACGATTCACGTTGCGTATAATGATTTATGAAAATATAGTGGCCTCTGATGATTTGTTCTCCGTTTTCTAGGGGATTATTTCAGCACATTATCATGACAATACATCAGGAAATCGACGGTTCTTTCTCTTGATGGCACGAGCATGTTTCACCTGCCAGAGGGTCACTTACAAGCTTCTTTAGCTCCTCGATGCAGCAGTATCAAAATGCCAACGAGAATCACTGATCATTGCGTGCATTTGGTGTTGCGTTCATCTGCAGACTCGAGGTTTTTCACACAACGCTAAGGACCTTTGAAAGTGATTGATAGTCGGTGAAACTGACGAAAGGGATCAAGGATGCTTCACGCTCTGTGTATACCTCACGGTGATCAGAACACTGTCACATATCAACATGCTTCAGTGGACGTCCGCTGCATATACACCTTGCATCAGTATCGAGTAAATTGAAACTGAACCCAAATAAAAGAGGCTCACTGGGGGCTATCATTGCATTCAATGTTGAGAGACTCAGGTCGGCTGAGACGCAGTCTTTTATCGCACCACAAAAGCCTGGCGCGATCACCTTTTTCAGAGTGGTACCAAACATACGACCTCGCTGGGAATCGAACCCAGAGCAGCGCAAACATTTCATGTGATGCACTCATTACACCATCAAGGTCTCTCGTCTGTGGCAAGGCATGGATCTGTATACATTCACATTTGAATCATAGGGTCTTCACTACTGTAGATCAAAGACCGAATGTTTGACCAGCCTTGGCTTTATATGACACAGCTGCACGTCTGACGGGATCAGTGTCGATCGAGCCCGTCGGCGCGTCACGTCGAATGAACTGACTGTATAAACTGACTGTCCAAAAAGCTCGTCGAAGTCTTGGAGAGATCAGCGCCGGGCGCCGGGTAACAAATGCCGGTTCGCTTGCACGGACAAACCAGAGATTCGTTGTACGCCCCAGCGGTACGCGATACACACATAGAGTCCGAGACTCGCAGCATCTGTGTCTTGTGGCAGCAGGCATCTTCAGTTTAGTCAGGGCCCGAGCGCCTATAACAGCGTAGCGTTGCTACCGGAACGCAATGATAGAGTTCATTTACACGCACTCCTTACCTCTCCGACTCGTCACACAGTTGCTACCGTATGGATGTCAGCGGATCTATGCTGAGAGCCGAACGGAAGGCGCGCTAGATAGTTTTCATGATTTGGGCGGGGGCGATACAAAACGTTAGATCGGTTAAAATGAACCAAATGTAGATGGCAGAGTCTGTCTGGGAAAAGACGATACATGTACCCTAAGGCACAATTCGAGAGAACACAGAACATTAGGGCACGCATGGGACCTACTTAATTGATGCTTGTCTCACGGACGAGACGAATGCGAATAGGAGGAGATGAGTAGAACGTACACATATGAAAATCATATCCATTCCGGCTAAGGTAAGGAACGAAGGCGGCGCCGGCGGTGTCAGAGGTGAGAGTTCATCGACAAAGAGAGTTCGCTTGGCCACTGCATGCAGTTATGTACCTGATAAGGAGTATATGACCAGTGTTAATAAATATTACGCAGATATACGGTTCAAAATTCAGTGAGGGATGATGGAGAGCACTCACACGACGCGACGCGAGAAAACAAACGTAAGACATAAGCAGATTAGGCGTGATTTCTCTAGACCCCCCTACCGCCCGCTTACACCACATGTGTATCTTACCTGTACTCACATGAGTGTGCGCTATTTAGAATCCCCCCTCAGAAGTTGAAGTATGATTAGGGTTCGTGATAGGGAAACGAATCAGCGTAATACAGAGCAGGCAATGTTGGAGAGTTGATAGAAGGAGGCGGGGAGCGTGCGAGACGGAAACGAGTCGGGATTTCTGTAATTCTACGACCACGGGCTCGGGCCCTCGAAGCGTTGGACGTTACATGCCTCGAGGCTCGCCAGAATTAGGTTATCGCGATGACCTGTTTCGTGTTGCAAGCCTCTAATCGTAAGTAATAGTAGTTCTCGATTGAGATACCCATTCCTGAGAGAAAAAAGCAGTCGGATGAGTGGCGGTGAGACACAGATTTTCGTGCACGCTGGTACCACCAGCCTGAGCATCATCAGATAGACGCTATAACGGTCCCGCTCGGATTTCACGGCCGTCTCAAATGATTGTCATTTTATGTAAAGGATTTAATATTGACACCTAACATTCACAAACGAATGTATTCACGAGCGAGTGTGCTGATCCATATCATTCAGCCTGAGGGGTGACAGAGCCAACAGAGGTAGCTGGGCGAAGTAAATCACAAAACGCCAGCCATCTTGAATGTTGAGTTTGTGCCCCAAAAAGCCATTATAGCAGCAGAAACACGAGGGTAGTCTTACAGATCTACGGCCTATCGTGACCCTGGTATCAGGTTTGTGCCTACGAGCATTCATTGTCTCGTTCACGAAGCCCGAGCGATACGTGAATATCCCGTTTCGATACTTGTTCAATAATTTTAGATGTGGGCGTTACAGCGTGGTTCTGAGCAGTGAGCTAAGTGTGACTTGATGCCTATACTGTATGAGCAGCAAGACTCTCAGTCTGAGTCACCCTTAAAGGTAATGGCCGCTCGTGTATATGATCAGTTTGACGTTCATCAATGAGTCGCGCTCATCACCATATGATCATGTCATCGTTGGGAATGGTATTGAGTTTGGACAGCGTAGACTTGAGCGTGACGCTCTCAATGTCGTCCTTCACTCAGCCGCACACACGCAAAAAAGAGCACCACAAGACATGAGATCAATTTTACAGTCGCCCCCACACATGCGAGACTGCTGCTACAAATATGACGATGTGTTGTTGGATAGTTTGCAAGCGCGACTAAAATTACATCGGGACATGTCAGTCAATCCGAGTTTTGGCTAAATGGCAGCATTCCTGTGAATGGAATGAACGCTTCCGCAACGCAAATACGTCCCAATTCGAGCAGGTGTACCGGTATGCTAAACCATTCGAAGATGCGGTGGCCCTGGCTTCCGCCCATCACTTTGACAGCCATTTTATAAGCGTAGTGCTGGTGGAATGCCACATCATAAATTTGCGGATTGGTAAACTACCATGTATTTGACGTAGATTAGGCAAAGGATTCGGCTTTCCACAGAATGAGGATAGGGCATGATGCTTAACGCTCATCACACTCAACAGCTCCACTCGTGGCCTACACTCGAGTATAGTCCCTGCCCAGAGAGCGTTGCGTTGGTTGACGAGGACGTCTACCGCAGCACTCCCCGCGCGAGCGAGAAGCGTTGCATGGGCGCGGTGATACGGGAAAGTGTCATGCATCCAAGGGATCTTTCTCTCATACGCGGATGAGTTTGGCGCGCATGGGATTACAGCGGGACGATGCTCACCAAGCGTCACACAAGCCTTTCCAGCCGGACAGTCATGCGGTTGCCAAATGCGATTCCCAGGTTGGATAAAATGCGATGCTCTGCACCGAGGTCTGTGCCGGCAGGCTTGACGCAGATATCCAACTCTTTTGCCCCCATACATACCCCCTTTTTTCGGAGGTATATTGCGTTGAGGATCTCATTGTTGATAAATATCGCTGTACCCTGTATAGACATACGAGTAGGGCCCCAAAAGCACGGGTGCTTTGCGAGAAGCCTGTGCGGGAGTACATCTGGGACTGTATCGATAAGGTCTGGTAATTTGACCGTGAGCGTGAAGTAGGTTTGAATACCCCCAGCTCCGTTTGCATATCTGAAATCGAGTGTTGCCTTGTTATTGTCTTTTCCGGACTGGTTGATACGGACGTGATCCAGAGTTGTCCGCCTCTGATTCCCGAAGTGAGACGCGACGGCTGTCAATGCGCTGGTGACATTGACTGTATTGTCTTGCAGGGTATATCCGGCGTACATGAGATATTCGCCCGCGAGATCTATGTTGTCCACGACATCATCGGCTTCCACCACGATCCGGCACTCGGGTGATAGTTTTGCCCAGTTCAATAGAAGTGCGCAAAGTCTCCAGTCTCCGACGACTTCAAATCGAGCGAGGGGGGGAAGAGCGCGGGGTCTCGCGCTTTCAGAGGCCGCGTCTGCAGAAGCGCTCAACTTGGTCGAAGAGTGTATCGCCAGTTCTTTGAGGAACTGGAAGCGGGCAATAGCCTCGAGTGTTTGAGGATATTCGAAAGTGAGCTCTTGATACCGAAGGGTAAAGCTCTCAACACTGCTCGGGATATTGAGGTCGTCATCCATCAGAACATCCGTGAGTTCAAGCTTGGCGACTGCACCCCAATTGACGGCGCGGTAGGTCGCGTTGAACGAGGTCGTCCGGTTCTCGAGCCTCAGCTCCTGTACGCCGGACAAGTCACCATGACGGAAAAGTGCGAACGCGCGTATGCTGGCTTCGTTGCTGAGGTAGATGTCTAAGGTCGAAACGCGTTTGGCATCGTCGGATTCCTTAGTCACGAACTCGACGGCGGACTTGGTAGATCTCCAGTCCTCCGTTGATTGCGTGTACCCTACTCGCAGTGTGAGCTGTTTTCCTTGTGTAGCCTTCAAGGCACGCGTCGTGAGATGCTCGTTCGGAAGCGGTAGTTCCACCCAGATGGGACTGCAGGCTGAGACCAGCAGGCGGAAAACTCGACTCGCATCACTGACGTGTTGCATGTTGCGTATAGTTGTATCGCGACTATCTTCGGGGTTGTTTTCCATCTCAAAATATAGCATGGTAACGATGAGGAGGAGAAGCTCTGCAGGCAAGCCCTTCGGCTGGGAAGACGGCGGATCGAACCTGCGCAGAAGAGGTTAGAAGCAGCGTGCATCAAGAATGATTCAAACTCGCATGCAAGATGTGTATAGAAGCAGGTATGTGAGCGCAAAGTGGGAATGAGATTAGGCTGCGGCTGCGGGAGTTGGGAGCCAGGTGGTGGAGAAGAGGCAAGATCTCGCGGTTGATTCCTTCTCATCATAGTCTCGTAACCACAACGTTCCACTGTTCCCAACTTCACCCCTCGCGCCTTCTTCTTCAACCCCCGTGTCCTCTCCCCACCGGACCCCGGCCACAACTATCGCATCTTTGCCCAACCCGACTCTACCGTCCCACGTGCATCAACCCGACCACTAATACAACCCTGGTCCTCCTTCACGAATGTCTACATCCATGTCACAAGTACGCACAACACACTGGATATCCACGAACTACGCTGCGCTATCATATTTGCCCGTAACCCCCCGATAATACACCCCGCATCGAACCCTACGCACATCCTCACTCGCAATCACCCCACCATAACCTCTGAAGCCGACCCTATCCTTCTGTGTATTTTTCAAGCCACCCAGTCCCTCCCTGCCCACCTCGATATTCAATTTCACTTCCACCACCAAGGCTTAATTCAAATTCTTTCCTCGAGAATCTCGTACTACGAAGACAGAGACTGGTCTGCCTTTGCCTGCTCGCGAGAACTATGGCAAGCCGCCGTCTCACATCTGCGCGCCCGTCCGTCCAATGTCGCGTTCACCACCGGCCCGCCCTCGCCCAAGTACCTCTCCACCCACCCTCAAGCCTCCGACCTTACCATCACGCGCGACGACCCTATCCCCTTTAAACCCCTACCCGGATACTACCTGCCCGGCTCTCCCCTACACCTGGCCTCACAGTCCTCGCTATACCGCGCCATGCGCGAGGCCAACCCGCCTCATGCCCGACGAGCATCCGATATCCACGTCGACATTGCCCGCAAGGCCATATTCGAGCGAAACGGGACCTTCGCAACCCCAGAACAGGTCTGGACGTCCCTACGACACAAGAACAGCAGTCGCAAGATCCACGACTTCCTCTTCGTGTGCACCCACAACGCGTACCACGTAGGCTCCTACTGGGCCAACATCCCTAACCTTTCGCATCTAGGAGTATGCCAATCCTGCGATACCACTGACTCCCTTGACCATATCCTTTGCGAATGTAGCTCTCCCGGACAAAGCCTAGTATGGCGCCTCGCCCGGGATCTATTATCGTCGAAGATAGCTGATGTCCCCCAGGCAACGCTGGGCAACATCATAGGAACGCACCTTCTCCGCATCTGGGCTAAGCCCGGTTTCAGCGACAAAGGCGCCGAGCGCCTATCTCACATCGTATTCGGCGAATCCGCCCAACTCATCTGGGCCATGAGGTGCCGGAGAGTCATTGATGAGCTCTACGACTACTCGGACAACGAGATCGCCGCCACCGGGCGCGTCCGTATAACACGACGCCTGCTCCTGGATCAAGCCATGTCACACCCCAAATACCGCCCAGTAGCACTGAAGCGTGCTACTGTCCTCGCCACCTGGAGCTCCATCCTCGTAAACGAGCGCCTCCTACCTAACGACTGGATCAGATATAACGGGTCTTTAGTGAGTATACGGTTCCCCGAGCTCCGCCAGCCGCGAAGGCGACCGCAGCGTTGACGGGACCCCGGAGTCTCACACTCTGTGCGTAAAGCATTTTTTCCCTGAAGTCTTCTGATCCAGCCAACCCGGCAACCCACAAATCCTGCCAAAAAGCCCACATATGATACTTGTAGGATCAGTCGTAAGAAGGGGCCTACAAGTAGATGTACCTCCAAAAAAAACCACAACGTTGCCGCAAGAGTTTGAGGGGGGTTTCCTCTGCGACCACAGTCTGAGTGAGCGGGAGCAGTGGCACTATGCTATTTCTGACAGTCAGCTTTGCCCAAACCTTCTAAATAGAGACGCGGTGAACGTGGGCTGGGCCGCCGGCCCGGGATGCGTCGAGAAAACGCGACGCGCTCTCGACACGTCTTCCCTTCCTGACTTTAACCGACGTTCAGACTGCCTGTACCTCTATAGTATTTTGAAGTATATTACTCATTTTCTCGTCTCACGCTCCGCCGGAAACATAACCATTCAACCCACCCTGCTGCCGTGGACGTTTCGGTGAACAGATCACGTCATGCATCTCAACATCACCTTCTATTGCAATATCTATGCTGCTTAAGTACGACTTTAGACGCAAGTCACAGCACACTCTTTCCATCAGGGCTCGACTCGTCCCGCACATTCCTCGCAGCAATTTTTCAGGACCGAATACGCCGGCAGATACTTTGTCGCAGCCCCTCGTCCCACTACGGAAGTTCTCCCCGTATAGAATAAAATGCATGCAGAACGAGCCCCGCCACTCAGGCCAAAGAGCTATCCAGTAAGGCGTTACGTCCTTCGTTCGGCATTGATATTGGCAGCGGCTTCACAGTTCACCCACAGTAGCCACTTCCGCTCGGACAGATGTATGTACACCAGGTACAGAGTTACCTGTATTATTTCATGGTCGGAAAATCATTCGGGCACAGACAGGGAAGATTTGTATGACTGTCATCGTGCTTAGTATCACAGAGTTAGCACTCTTTTGAAGGGCCAGTGAGATAAAATGCGCAAGGAACATACTGTATTCGAGAGGCTCGCAGATCTGTCCACGTCAATTAAAGTTGTTGCCGCCGCCGTCCCTTACCCCTGACCTAATGCTGCTTCTTTAACCCAAGGCACACTTTACCCCTCAAACGTGAGCAGGTTTTGGTGAGGCCTCACTTGAAAATGTGTCACGGGCGGATGGGAGTGGGTTTAGAACAAGGCTTTTACCACTAAAAGCTCAATTGGCCACTCTCCCATGGTAACAAGTGTCATGAGTGAACGACCCTGCATCTTTTTTTACAATCTCCCTGCCTTAGCGCGCGGCTCTTCACTCTGAGACGCAAACGTTCTGATAGTCCCATGACTCTTGAACCCGCAGGGTCCTCTGTCAGAACGCTCTCGTACTCGGTGGCCGTGATGGCGAGCTTTAAGATGGTTATTCGGCTCTTGGATCAAGTGCGTAATGCCACAGGGAAGTCATGCACGCCTGCATGAGACACCAACGCGTATGTGTAAGATTATTTCTGTTACATAACTTGGTCTTGTCCCAGAGGCTCGAGCGTCTTACGAGCGGGTGCGTATGCAACATGTACACGAGATGTTACAAGCATTTGTGTGGCATCTCCTGGTTTATGTGGCATCGTCAACAGTCACCGGGCATCTTTGACATGAGAACGATCGGAGACTTGACGCATATAGTGAGAAGCATGACAGTGAGAGAAGATGACGTTGTGATGCCATGATGCATGACAGCTTCGATGCACACCCTTCCGGGAGCCATCCTAAAGCCTGTATGCGCTCCTGGAACCATTCAATGGGTTCTTACTGGCGGATGAGTGACAGACACAGGCGCTCTGCGGCCGCAAGACGGAAAGCAAATGTCTTTGAATGACAATCGATATCATAGTCATTTCATAACTCAGATCGATTTCACCCTTATTTTCATGAGTCACTCGTCACAGAACTCGCCGCATGCCCTGCCCTGCAGGATCTAAAGTTGCGTGTTCGATCCATCGTCTTTGAAAACGCCTGGCCGCACAAGGAGCACCTGCATTTGCACCATCCCGCGCTGGCGTCAGAGCCCATGGTCATGTTTCGGGTGATGCGCGCCGTGCAGTTGCCGGAGAACCTGGAGGACCATCTCGAGTAGTGTTTCGATGCATGGAACAAGCGCATGCTACTGCCCGTCATTTTCTACTCTAACGACACTGTGACTGTCTACGACGGTGCGCTGGATGATCGGTGGACTAGTTGTCCGACTCTCGCCCATAGACACTCCGTTCGGAGATCCAGTGTATGGACCCGACGCGTATTCTGTCGTCAGCCTCGATGTTGTATTGGATTGCTCACGCTCGTGAGACAAGTTCAATGCCGCGGAAATGGTCAGAGTCGTTCTCGCGACTAGCGTATCAGACGCGATTAGTTGAATGGCTGACGGCGTCAGCACCCCGTTGAGCGTACCCGGAGTTCCATGCCGCTCGCTTGGAACGAAAGTGTTTGAACCGTACGCAGAGCGAGTGGTGGAAATCCATCACTCCGCGCGGGCTATGATGGGGGGAGGACTTTCTGAGGCCGCTCCGCTCGTCGAACCTTTCAGGGACCGGGACCTCTTGCCGCATTGTGTTGGCTTCTGGGACGTCTTACCCAGCGACTGTCCAACTGGCATCACTGGTTGGAGAAATTGCAACCACCAGTCTTAGTTATCTACGCACCAAGCGACACCTACAGCTGTAGGCCTTCGGTACGCAAGGCCTAGCTCGAGGCCCTGGCAGAGTACTTGAGCCACGGGATTTGGTGTCATAGGGGCTCGAGGTGGAATTATCAGTCCCATTCCGCTCTGCGTTGGGTGCGCGTTGTCCGCGAGTGCTTCGGGAACGTTCTAAGCGTCATCAACATGGTCAACGAGCTGCAGCTGCTCGAATTGACGAGCGACAATTGCGCACACGACAACGCACGGGATGGGCAACACTTGGGAGACGATGGGTTGAGTTTTGGTCTCGTTCTTGTTTGGTCAGGCCTGTTCATATGCGCATGTACGTATCTGAGATATACAATAACCTGCTATAAGTACAATACTTCTTTTTTTGCAATACCCAGGGCCCCATTCCTTCCTTCGCTCGCTCGCACGTACATACCATTTGCAACCAACTGAGCCGGCGAGCTGCTGACCTTGCTTATAGCCTCCGCTGCTCTTGGGACGTCCTGGCTTCCATCGTACGTAACCCTCTTGTACACGTATACGACGTTGTAGCCGAGCGCGTCTGTCGCATCCCGTGAGCTAAAAGTACCTTTGGGTTTGATCCCCACCACATCGCGCCGCAAGATAGGCCATGGAACGCATAGAGAATCAGACCTCATGCGACCGCGCTCAGCTACGCTATCTCGCCGACCAGTATATGGACGCTTGGTTATCCAAACCTTCCATGGCAGTCTTCCACGAGCTCAACGGCGCTCTTGTCGCCAACGTCGCATACAACAAGTACACTCCTGATGACCCGGATCTCATTCCGGACCTTGAAAAGGCACTGGACGATTACACGGCGGCGGTGCACAATCAAAACTCGAGTGAAGTACTGAGGGGCGTACTCAGCCTGCACAGGTACATGGCTACGCACAGCAACGCGGATGGGCCAGGCTACAAGAATCTCAGAGATCTTAAGCGCAAGGTACGGCGTGCGCAGTCAAAGTCAGCAACATCGGCTCATTTGACACGATGTAGTTGCGCCAGGGCAAGAACGACGAAACGCCCGACTGTCTCGCGCTGACACTGATGCATCAATGCGCGCTCCATCTGTTGGCCACAAAGTCGCAACGTCTCGCCGAACAGGACGCCACCGTACGGGCCACGCAAGCTCTTCTGCAGGAGCAAGAAGTGGAGAATACACGGCTTCGATCAATTGTGAGTGTATGAAATTGAAGCAGAACACTTGGGATGACAAATTTCTGCGCCAGATCTTCGGAGCGCGGGAGACGTTTGAAAGAGAGTCCAGAAATACGATACAAGTCATACAGTCTCGCGACGAGGAGATCAACCGACTCAAAGAGACCGTGAGTGCATTGTCATTTGAGCGGAGTGCTTGAGACCACTACGTCCTACGCTAGATCGCTAAAGTGTGAGAGAGGCTTAACAGCCAAGTCGAAGATATCGACAGCATCTTAGCCATGGTGAGTCTCCCCAGTTACGTCTTTTCAGACACGTTAAACTATTTCAAGGACAATCAACCGTCTTTGTAGCGCGAGTAGATGCGCTTTCTGTATGCGCACGAGTCTGTAAAGACTCGCTGATCCGCATCGCCCGTGGTCGCTCGCTTGGGGTCCAATCGTTCTAATAATCGTTGTATCCGACATGGACCACATGCGTATCTACGCGTTGTTTGTCAGAGGAGGGCAGTCACGAGTCAGACACCTGTCAGCGAAAAATCCAGATACATGTTAGTGATACTTCCTGTCTTTCCGGCTGGGATGACTCTTATCATACAGTCCACGGAAAAAGAGAAAGAGATGTGACTCGCCTTTCAGCCTTTTCGCGGTTCTGTACATGTGATTGATATGGTATGCATACTAAAATATTATGAGAACGGAAAGCCACGTTCGAGTAGCGTGACGGAGTTGCACCTGAGCCCCTCCTTGAAAGCATGTGGGTTTTTCTCGTCCTCTTTCATCTTGGACGGGCAGTGCATCAAGAGCGTTTGTATGGGTGCGATCATTACGGAACCCAAAGAGTGTCGCCGCTGCGTATCCGATCAGCACTCTTTGTACTTTGCAATAGAAGTGTTTGAGGAAAGTCTGCATCGGAGTACTTGCTACGTCCTTACTATTTGTGTAGTGCGGTGTAGTCCGGCATATCTAGGGTGGCAAGTGTACAACAAGCAGATGACGTGATCCCGCAAGCAAAGATTGCGCGACGCGTGCGAGCGCGATGATTATGCGGGCAACGACAACGCGGTGGGATTGCTTCACAGGAGTCAAAGTGAGACTACATACGGAATACCATCCTCTCTTCAGTACCACATCAGAGCTCGCAATGCTCGAATGCTTCGCTCACTTCAATAGAGCTCATCGCGATCTCGGACAATCAGCGTGATGGTGCCGAACTGAGGCGGAGAAGTGACCTCTACAGATTGGTTACGATCAAGCAAGAAGTAAGTGTCCATCAAGGTGACTATCATACATGTATATCCAACGCTAAAGCTACTACAGCCTACCGGAGGGACCGTTCACCAGCTGGCGTTCCATCGGCACAACTCCAGTCCACGACCCAAGGTGCTCCTTGTACTTTTCCTCATCCACCTCCTCGTACCCTTTCTTCTTGTAGAAGCCTATAGCCTCGACTGTGGCGTTCATCACAATTGTCTCTGTCTGTGGCCACTTCTCGCGGATGAACGCCTCCGTACGATCCATCAGCTTGGATCCGAGACCCTACAGTAGGGATGGTGAGTGAAGGCTGATAAACTGAAAGCAAGACCGGTACCGTGTTTTGGTAGTTGGCGTTCACGGCCACCAAATGAATCTCAGCCAGCGCAGGCTCCGTGAGGATGCGGAAAGAGACAGCAGCCACGATGTTGCAACGCTTCTTGCAGAGGAGGTGATAGTACCCCTCCTTCTCATAGGCTTCGTTGATGTGATTCACTGGAACTCTGGGAAGGCGGTCCTGCATGAGCGTCATGTACTGGTCATAAGCCTTTTTCCCAGCCTTGGCAACGACGATGTCGATATTGAACCGTTTATCAGTGAACTCGGTGCTCTACACATAAGCACACATTAGTACAGTTCCTGAATACAATGAGTAAACATACCGCGGCGGGTTGTTGTTCGCCGATGGACTGAACGGCCGCTCCTGTACGTTGCGCTGAGCCTGACGCGGTTGGAGGAGTTTGCGTCGCCTCCATAGACGCTGCAGGTTCCGCCTGGAAACACGGGTAAGTGGAGTTTTGTAACAGTGGGAACGGTACGCACCTCCAGCCGCTCTCCTTCGACAGCATTCACGGGTGCACCGCGCGTTGAGCTCCTCGAGCGTGCGCGGGCAATCCCTCGCTCTGAGGACGTCTCGGTCTTTTGGCGACACAGTTAGTTAGACTGCTGGAACGGCTGACAATGCACGCACCATCATGACCTCGTCGTCGATGATCTCAATGACCTCGTCGTCGATGATCTCAATGA